GACCCCGCCGGGGCAGACGGCTGCCCCCGCCCCGGCTCGTCGTAGCTCCGCACCGCTTGGCCCTTACCCGGATCTCCTTCAGGTCAAAGGGAAAAGCAAACAGTCGCGGCTAAATGCGCGTCGCGCTCCTCTTCCTAGCGACGTCCGGCGTAAGCAAAACCTCGCTGCCAGCAGCCGCGGCGCCGCGGGCAAAGGCTTTCTGCCTTTCCTTCCCCCGAAGAGCCCCGGTGCCCCCCAGCCCCTCTCAGGGCACAGCATGTTCTCTTTTCCCGCAGGTATTTCAATTGGCATGTGAAATGTTTCACTTTTCAGCCAACTTCCCCAAAACACGTAGTTAAATTGTTTTCTTTTGTTGTTGTTTTCCCCCCCCCTCCGCCCCCGGGGTGAAAAGTCCATGTTTCCCAAAGAAACGTGACGCTACTTCTTGCACAAACGCACACAAAACGCTTTCAGCAAACACCCCGAGATACCTCTGGCTGGCGCAGCGAAACGGCCGAGCTCCAGCCAAGTCCACTGAACGCGTTTCTGATTTCTGTTGCACGATCTACCCTTAAGCCCGCCCGCCTTTAACAGCACAGATCTACACGCGTCCGGCCAGGCCGTACATGACCTTCCCCCCCCAAAATCTTTGTCATTAGCATTTCTGAGACCAGCTCGGACAGGTCCCTGCTGGAAACGACGCCAGCAGAGGCTGGTGGGACCCCGGAGCCCTGGGCACCTGGGCCAGCCCTAGTTCTCCGAGTCTGCTCTGCGGTGATTTGAGGGTAAACCTACCACCGCTGAAGCAGACGGGTTTCAAGGACAGCTAATGACATAAGGCTGATGCAAAGCCTTCTTGTGACATGATGGCTCTAGGGAAGCTCACGTCCGTCCGTCCTCATCCAGGTCCCTGAGTCTGAGTTCATGAGTAACCAACGCAACAGGTCTGATCAAAGCCGACAGCGAGGATTTTCCTCTTTCTAAAAGAGAAGGAATGAGTTAGAGGACGGGAGGATTTTATAACATCTTCTGAGGCCTTTAAGGCCGAAACGGCTGAGCATGCTGCGTCCTACGGCCCCGGGCTAAAGCAGCATCCTTCTTGCTGAGATCTTTCCGCAGGGGAAGCTCAGATACACGAGCAGAAGGCAAAAAATGACTCAAAGCCCCTGCAGCGAGAAACCACAGCGTTTTCAAACCAGAGGTTCGGAGCCCATTGTGCTTTTAACCGCCTGGCGCCGCTCGGGGTGTCTCTGCGCAAAGTGAGGCAAGGCCACCTTCCCGCAGCTCTCCTGCCTCTTACTGACCACCCAGAGCTTCCCCGTGGGTTGCTCTGGCTAGCTGTCGCTCGCCATAGCCGACCAAACCTCCTTTACGGTACGCAGCAGAGCCAAGGCTGGTTTAACCTTTGGTTTAACTGTTCTTGGCAGGTGCAAAACTCACCTTAGTCTGCCTGTGCCCTTTTTAAACTCTCTGCTCCAAATTCAAAGCTCACCTGTGATGACTCCAGTATAACCTAGGAAATCATTCTCCACAAATGCATATAACAGACTTCCAGTGTGCTTATATCTCAGTCATGGAGTCTGAGTTCAGCTCATCCGGCTTCATTTTCTGAAGACCGCATCCGGAAGCTGGCACTTGGGATGTTCACGCTCTAAGTCTTTACAAGACGACTACAAAGAGATCTCCATCGCCTCCCGCAAGGGGAGGTGAGCAGGCCCCCGCAGCCGAGCTAGAGGCTCCTAAGGGCTGTCTCAGCTTGGACACATCAGCCCACAGCTCTGGGACACCAGGATCCACCAACTACATGTGAAAAGCGCGGAGAAAACATGCTTTCCACCACCCCGGTTTCTCAGCCACCGCTGTATTTACTCAGGGTGGTGAGACCTGGTTCAGCTCTACCCAAACGGACTGCAGTCTACAGCTCCAGACTCAGCCCCTACTTCTCCTCCCGGCAGCCTCGCCGTCTGGGCACCGCTCGGGCTCAGACGCTGCCCAGGGGCACCGTAAGGCGCCACGTCCCACTGCGCAAATCCTCTCGCAGACCTGAGCCTTGGCTCCTATTTCAACAGTTTTCAATGGGTAACGTTCATACGTTACGGCTTTACGAAAATCACCTAGGTTGATATAGATCTGCACTTTATTAATTTTTCCAGCTACCGGCATTGAATTAATCCAGGCAGCGACTGATCTCACTCTTCCATATCTCCCAGCTTTTCCACGTTACCCAATGCATTTCTCATTACCCACGAGGGCAGCCGGCGTTTCAGGAGCTAGGTGGATCGCTGGACTTACCCTCGACAGCTCTGCCCGGTGCTCCTGCCAGACAGCCGTGGGTGGCACTGAGAGCCCACGGAGAAGACACCCGGCTGCCACCTGTCCTCTCCGGATGAGATCTGGGGGGGAGGGATTTAAACCAAACTGCTTTCCAACCACCTTTATGTCACAGCAGGACATAGCATGAAGATTGGGGAGCTCTTGCCTCTATTCTAGGAGCTGGATGAGCTGGGAAACGCACGGTTCCCCCGGATGACACCGCGGCAGCACTTGACTGGCCCCGCTCCGGCCCCAAGGAAAGCTGCTTCTTGGAGGCCCCTCACCGGCCTCTGGCCAGGGCCGGGCACTGCCGGAGGAACGAGAAATAGAAACATCTCCCCAGAGTCCTACCTGCCAAAGAGCCGCTCCATCAGGCTGCTCTCTCCTAATGCTTATTAGTTTCACACCCAATTTCTATATTAGGCCGCGTGTGTCCCCGAGGAGCAAGCTGTTTCCCTGCCCTGATGACCTAGAGACCGTTTCTGATTGCCTACAAGAGGGATGCTGGACTTTACCACTTGCCCACCAAACCATGCCCTGGTGCAACCCATCCCGGCTCATAGCTGTGCTGCAATCCAGGGGAAGCAGCAAACGTCTCCAGATGTTGCTTTTTCTTAGCTGTAAGTCACCAGACGCTTAGGAAGGCCCTAAGCAACACACAAATAAATAAAAGTATAAATAACAAACACAAATTTTTGAGCCGATGCTCAAGAAGAGAGATGCCTTCCTGCCTGCGCGCTAGCCCTGTTGAACCGGTGTTGCCTCCTGTCTGCGTGGCCTGGTGGAAGCGAGATGAGTTTCGTTTCTGCTCCTATCAGCGCTCCTGGAGCAGCGCGATTTGATTTCCAGGGCATTTGCGGGAAGCCGGCAGCACAGCCCTGCTGATAGCCCCACAGTGCTTTAAAGCCAGCCACAGCCCAAGTACGCAAACGCCTCCTCCCTGCATACCTGCAGGTGCCACCACCCAATAAAACCGCTTTCAGTTTTCTTTTCCCAGCCCGGCTGGGAAGGATGAAGAACGTGTTACAGCTCGTTTCACGGATGCACCTGCACGCAACGGTGCTTCCTGCTACCTTCACCCAAGCCGTCAATGTTTCCAGGAGGAAAAATAGCTGTGCGCTGGTACCACCCCAGGCCAGGTAAACTGGCCTTTTCTCACCTTTCATGGGCGTGCGCCCATGGTACTGCCAATGGGAGTTGCGTTCGCAGGTACAAAGATCAGTCCCAGGCTGACTGTACGCTTGCTCTTACTTCCTCCTTTTGCCTTAACCCATCCCATTTTGCACAAGGCGAGCGAGGCTGCAGCCCGTCGCGCAGAGCCCCGAGGTCCGGCTCGCGCCTTCGCCCGCATGGGAAACGTCAGAAGCTGCTGCATCGCCTTGGCAAGGAGGTAACCACAAACCGAGCGGGCTCCTCACGCGAGCGACTGACGCAGCCGTAAAGCTTGCTGGTTTTTGGAAAACGTAAGCCGCGCACATCCGCAACGCAGCGGGGCGAGCGCGGCGGAGCTCAGACCCGGCGCAGCCCGCTAGCGGTGGGAGAGCGCCCTGGCTCTTTAGCTCGGCGCTGAGCTGCAGCTCGCTTTTTCCTCCTTTCGCCCCCTGTATGTATTTCCAGGGTGGTGGAGGACGAGCTTTTGGGCAAGCGTTGGTCCCCGACGGGCGACACGTTGCAGCCAGCGCGTTAGCAGGGTGTGCCAGGAGACTACGTACATGTTACTCACGCTTTTTCTTTGCCGAGCGCGATTTCTGGTAACGTCTCCGAGAGCAGCGCCCGAGTCCCTGCGGTCCTTAGGTGCTATTGTAGACTTATGCGCTTAATTGAATAGATGTCGTTTGCCTGGAGACATAATGCAAAGCAAGAAGAAAAAGACATATGTCCCTTATATTTTTTCCCCTTCTACTACTTTGGACGTGGCCCGAATGTTAATTGAGCAACTTCTGGGTAGGACAGTAGTCTTGTTTTATTGTACAGCAACAAATTAATTTAGGGGAAGAAACGTTCAGCATCTGAAGTATACTATTATTTCTTGAAACGTTAATTGGTGACATCGGTACCGTGCAGTTTGCTCGCTGGTGGCGTATCCCCGTACGGCTTCATTTCCTTAAAAGCGGGGAAATTAATGAGGTGTTTATGGGGGTGAGGGACTTCCACCGCGCTGAACGCGGGCAACCAGCGGAGCGGCTTCCCTGCTGCACGCGTGCGTTAAAGGTTAGTAAACCAGGAGCCGGCTCTCCGCCGACGGAAACAGCCGTTGACTTATGGGGATTCATTTAAGAAAAGGCGGATGGGAGCGTTTATAGCCGCTGAGCACCTGCCCCCGTGTATTTAAGTGCAGAAAAAGCATGTGCCCCATCTCTGTAATTTATGGCGACGTTTAATCATTTGTATTAGTCACTGCGTTACTGAATATTGCTTTTCCTATGTAATTGATATCCTTGGCAGTTTCTACTGAAAAGTAAGTAATTCGGGCAACATCGCACCCCCATGACATCACCAGCCCCGTGAATCGCAGCTCTGTCCGCTGACACTGCAATCATAATTCAGCTCTTTTTTT